CATTTCTTTAAGTAAAATCTGCTCTGCATCTCCTGCCCCAAGGCAGGATATCTCTGCTTTATCTCTGCATTTTGAACCATTTACTCAGTCTTTTGTTCCACCCGTGCTTGGGGTGGTTACTCAATAACTATCGCTTGATAACAAATGATCTTGTTTTTCCTGCCCTATATATTGTGTAAATTTCCCCAGAATAAACGAGACTTAATCAGACTCCTGTCTTGTCTCCATTTCTCGTGTCTCTTGTCCCTCCTCATCCTCACTCCCCCTCTAGAGTCCTCGTTGCTCGACCTGCGGGACGGGTCACCAACTCTCTAATTGCTGAGCCAAACTGGCCAGGGCTAACCTTTTGCATTTTAATTATGATGTGTCTTGGTGTGAGCCTCTTTGGATTCATCTTGTTTGAGATTCTCTGTGCTTCCTGGACTTGTATGACTGTTTCCTTCACCAAGTTAGGGAAATTTTCTGTTATTATTTCTTCAAACAGGTTTTCAATTTCTCTCTCTCTCTCTCTCTCTCTCTCTCTCTCTCTCTCTCTCCTCCTTTTGGCACCCACATGATGCGAACATTGGTACACTTGCAATTGTCCCAGAAGTTCCTCATTTTGGGGGGATTATTTTTTGTTTTTGCTGTTCTGATTGGGTGTTTTTGCTTTCTTATATTCTAAATTGATGGTTTGATTCTCGGCCTCACCTACTCTATTGTTGATACCCTGTAAATTATTCTTTATTTCAGTAAGTGCATCCTTCATTTCTGACTGGTTCTTTATTATGCTCTTGAGGTCCTCACTAAGTTCCTTGAGCATCTATATAACCAGTGTTTTGACCTCTGCATCTGTTAGATTGCTTATTTCCACTTCATTTAGTTCTTTTCCTGGAGTTTTTTTTCTTTCACTTGGGACATGTTTCTTTGTCCCCTCATTTTGGCTGCCTCCCTGGGTTTATTTCTATGTATTAGGTAGAGTTGCTACATCTCTTAGGCTTGGCAGGGTGGCCTATTTTAGTAGCTGTCCTGTAGGGTTCAGTGGCACAGCCTCCCTGATCACACCAGCTGGGCACTGCAGGTGCATCCCCCATATGTACTGTACACTCTTCTGTTGTGTTTGAGTCTTGATTGCTGTTGGCACATCAATGGGAGGAATTCACTGAGGATGATCTGCAAGAACTGGCTGTGACCACTGACTACCAGCCTCCAACCACCTTGGAGGATCAGCTGTACAGGGCTCTCCACACAGAGCAAGACTTACTTTAGCAGGGCTCTGGTGCTCACTGAGTCTACCTCTTGAATGTGTTACTTGTGGAGGTGGTTGGATGGTGGTGCTTTGACATGGTCTGAAGCTGTCCACTGGGTGTGCTGGCTCTGAGGCCTCTTGGGAGGCACAGGCCAAGGTCAGCCACTGCCTGTGTCCTACCCAGGGCCACCAGGCATAAGTTACAAAGCTATATGCTGATGGCTGATTCTTGTGCTGGGCTTAGAGGTGCCCAGAAGAGGCCAAGCTATGAACCAAGGCTGTCTGTGCTAGTGCCAGGCCTGGGGCCACTTCATGAGCGGTATGGGGTTCACAGAGGCCAGATGTTGCTTGTTTGAAAGAATTTAGGAAAGTCTGAAGCAGGAGCCAAGACAGGCCTATTCTATGGTAAAGCCACTGGAAACAACTTGGGTGGGCCCAAAAGTTGGCTGGGGTAGGGCCTTAGGGGATCACAAGGGCAGGGCAAACAGTGTGAACCAGGTTGCTGGAGTCTCAGATATGGCACCTGTCTGCCTGCTCTGTGGGGGAAGGGCTCACCAAAGGAGCAATGGCCCCTGCTAGCACATCTGTCTATCTGAGAGAAAGCTTCCCTACAGGTCTTGCCCTGATGCCAAACAACTCAGTTCTTCCTTGTGTCTCTGGTGCCTTTCAAGCTGCCTTCCCCACACTGGAGGCTGGAGGGAGCAGGTGCACGTAAGTCCGTGCGTAGGCCCTTTAAGAAGAACTTCCTGGGACTCCCATAGTGTCAGCCTCCCTCAGCCTCATTTCCTAATGGTTTTACAGCCAGAAGTCATGGGACTTCCCTTCCTGGCACTACAACCCTGAGCTGGATGCCTGGTGTGGGACAGGAACCCCTCACTCCTCATGGAGGACCTTCCCAGCCGAGGTGTCCTCCTGATTTTTATCCACTACACATGGGTGTGGGACCAGTCCATCTGCACCTCCACTCCTCCTACCAGTCTCAATGTGGTTTCTTCTTTAGTTTCATTGTTGTAGGACTTTCATTCAGCTAGATTTCTGTGGTTTTGAAGGATGGTTGTTCGGTAGTTTAGTTGTAATTTTGACGTGGTTGCAGGAGGAGGTGAGTACCACGTTTACCTACCCCGCCATCTTGACTGGAAGTTTTCAGGATGTATTTTTAACTGTAAAAAGTAAAGAGCAGAAGAATGTAGTATGTAGCCTTCATAAAGAAAGAAAGGTAAATATGAAAATATCAATATATCTGCTAATTTTTTCAAAAAGTAATTCAAGTTATAAAATTTAGAAAAAAATGAGGTGGGTTACCTACACCGGTGGTGGGAACAGAGTGGGCAGAACAGGGGAATGTGAGTGGAGTGAAAGAGGAGAAGGGGAGGAGGAAAGTTCTCTGATATACCTTTATGTATAGTTCTTCGTCTTAGAATTGGGGCACTTCATAAACAGAATCAATACATAAATTCCAACTGGATATGCAGGAAGAGTAAAAAACAAAATACAAAAATAACAAATGAACCTATTACAAATGAGCAATATAGCACCCCACTGAAAGGGTCAGAGAAACTTCATAAAAAATATTTTGACCATATACTCTAAGGTTAAAGAAGAAAAAGAACTGTACACAACTCGTACACTTCAGTTAGTAAATTTGATTTTCCCTGGGGTATGGATTAGCAATTCCAAAACTGTCTCTGTAAATGTATCCTTTAGAAATATATGGTGGGTGAGGAGATCTAGGTTTCCTACTATCTAAGGAAGGAGTTACAGAGAAGCAAAGGAGAAGGCCAGAGTGAACTCTGCGATGTGGGATTGGAATTGAAAGTATCAGTTGGGCCCTGGCCGGTTTGGCTCAGCGGTTAGAGCAGCGGCCTGCGGTCCTGAGAGACCCGGGTTCGGTTCCCGCTAAGGGCGCGTACGTCGGTTGCAGTTTGTCCCCGGCCCTGGTCGGTTGTGCGGGTGGCAGCCACTCGATGTGTTCCTTTCGCATCGATGTTTCTCTCTCTCTCTCTGTTCCTCTCTCCCCCTCCCACCTTACCTGAACAAAATGGAAAAATGTCCTCGGGTGAGGAAAAACAACAAAAAAAAAAACAAAGAAGGTATCAGTTGGAATTCATAAATTATAATGTGAATAGAAAAAAAAAGGATGTATTTATATGTGGCTTATTATACATACAAGTATTTTCTAGCTATATTTACTAAGAAAGCATAACAGAAATGAGAACACTGTATACCTACTGAGATCTTGGTTTCTGTAAACAATTTCTGAAAAGAAACAAAAGCACTTGAAAAAATGGTAGATTTTAGGCTGGGACATTGCTGGGGATGTACAGGATGAGTCTGGAATGTTGTAGAGTGCTGGAAATTAAGGAAATGTTAAAATAAGAAAAGGATGGGGGTTTCACAAGCCAACATAAAGCTCCCAACAGTCAAAGCTGGGATAATTTGAGGAAAAAACTAAACAATGATAAGCAAGGGAGCTCATAAATATCATCAGTCTATATTGATATAAATAAATAATTGAATGCATAAACAAATAAATGGGGTAAAAGTGACATCTTTTCCTTACAGTAGAATTATAATTAATGTAGGAGGAATGATAAAAATTTGCCCCTTGGTAAATATTTTAATAATACGTATTGCAGGCAAGAGTAATCAATTAATGCTAAAATTAGTAGGCAAAGTATGATAGGAAAAAAATCTTTCCATTAAAGATTTACTAATTTCAAAAGGAAAATAAAAACTTTACAATGAATATGCATTGCAAAAAAAAAAAAAAAAATTTATCATCAGGAGTAAGACATATCAATCACTGAAGGATTTCCTAAAATCTGTAGCCATTTATTTGAAGACTTCAACATAGAACACCACTTCCATTAGAGTAATTTTCTCCCTCTGACTTTTTAGGCATAATTCACACAGACTGTATCCAGTAGAACTAAATAATGTGAATTTGCTTATAGTTTCAGTCTGATGACAAATAAACTGTCTGGTTTAATGTATTCTGAGCTTATTGGAAGGCTCTGGCATAGGAGCTGTTATTTAGACAGTTTTGACCAAATGACAATCCCTGTCTATTTAGGAAAAATACTGTGACAGAAATAATCTGATCAACTGGATGTACCCTGACTATCATTAAGGTGATAGATGTCACACTTGTCTTTCTCATGTCACTCATATTGTAGCTTCAAAGTCTAAGTAAGAAAACTTAACTCAGTACTTGCACAAAATTATTGGACATCTTCTAGACGTTCCAAATACCCAGCCATGTGCTAACAGATTCTCTCTCTCAGATATGGCATCTACCTTGATGGAACAATTGGTAATAACCATAGCTATAATGTAAAAATGCATTCTTTGAAAACTATCTTGTAGAATACTGGTTTTAAGGGATGTTAAATGAAGTTCGGTAACAGGAAAAGGAAGAGCTATCATTTGAAAATATACCTATATAAAAAGTTAAAATATCCATTTAAAAATATCTATGCTGCCATTGTAAAAACAAACCAAAACAAAATTTATATTACCTGTAACACTGAATTTTTAACTCAGATATCTAAATTCAGATGTCATTTCTGAAGATTATATCTGATTGCATTAATGTAGGAATCAGTTAAGTTTAAGAAATATCTAGTTAAAATTGTATGTTAAACATATGAATTTTCCGTCTTAATTGTCTGCAAATTGTCTTATGTGTTTTCTTTTTAATTTGTCTTCTTTATTGATTTTAGAGAGAGAAGAAGGAAGAAGGAGAGAGCGATAGAAACATCAGTGATAAAGAACATCAATTGACTGTCTCTGGTATGCCCCTCACTGGGGATTAGTTCCACAACCTGGGCATGTGCCCTGACTGGGAATTGAACCGCGATCTCTCAGTGCATGGGTCAATGCTCAACCACTGAGCCACACCAGCTGGGCTGTCTTATGTGTTTTCAAGAGGAAGGAAATAGTGGGCAGCATTTCACAAACTTACTCAACCACATAGACCACCACCCACTGCCCTTTTTCCCAGAAGATCTTAAGGACTAGTGTTCTCTGAAATACGTTTTAGGAAATAGATCTTAAGTAACAATAAATTAATCACCAAGTAAGACTCAACTACCATAAACAACATTAAAAAAATAAAACCATCGTGCTTACAATTGTGCTGAAAAATCAAAGTTTACATTTATGCAGCAATAAAGAACCAAACAATAAAAAATATTAAAATGCCATTCCAAGGTGGGGAACGTCTGGCCCATAGGCCGCATAATACCAGCTAAAATCATATGTATCACCAAATTAGCTTGACGAAATACAGCAGGCTAATTTTTTAAAATTAATTAATTAATTAATTTATTTATTTTTGTTACAGATGTTTCTTCTTTTTCCTCCATTGACACCCTCCTCCCCAACCCTTCCCGCCCCGTCCCCTGCTTTGTTGTCCATGTCCATTGGTTATGCGTACATGCATATAAGTTCTATGGTTTATCTCTTCCCCTCTTATCCCCCCTTCTGAGGATTGTACCCTACTTCCACATCTCTGGAACTACCCTGTTCCTCAGACTGTTATGATCATTAAATTCCACAAATAAGTGAGATGATGTGATATTTGTCATTCTTTGCTTGGCTTGTTTCGCGTAGGATAATACTCTCCAGGTCCCTCATGTAGTCTCAAAGGATAAGAGATCTATCTTTCTTACAGCTGCATAGTAATACCTTTTGTATCTGTACCATAGCTTTTTTATCCATTCGTCTACTGATGGACACTTGGGCTGTTTCCAGATCTTAGCTATCATAAATAGTGCTGCTATGAACATGGGGGTACATATATTCTTTCTGATTTGTATTTTAGACTTCTTAGGGTATATTCCTAGAAGTGAAATCACTGGGTCAAATGGCAATTCAATTTTTAATTTTTTGAGGTAACACCATATTGTTTTCCATAGTGGCTGCACCAGTCTACATTCCCACCAGCAGTGCACTAGAGTCCCCTTTTCTCCACACCCTCGCCAACACTTGTTGTTTCATGATTTGTTGATGGTGGCCATTCTGACAGGTGTGAGGTGGTACCTCATTGTTGTTTTAATTTGCATCTCTCTAATGTTTAGTGATGCTGAGCATTTCTTCATATGTCTCCTGGCCATTTGTATGTCCTGATTGGAGAGGTGTCTATTTAGGTCCTCTGCACATTTTTTTTCATCCTCACCCGAGGACATTTTTCCATTTTTTGTTCAGGTAGAGTGGGAGGGAGAGAGAGGAACAGAGAGAGAGAGAGAGAGAAACATCAATGTGAAAGGAACACATCGAGTGGCTGCCACTTGCAGGACCAACCAGGGCTGGGGACAAACTGCAACCGAGGTACGTGCCCTTAGCGGGAACCGAACCCCAGTCTCTCTGGACTGCAGGCCAACGCTCTAACTGCTGAGCTAAACTGGCCAGGGCCTCTGCACATTTTTTAATTGGGCTTTTTTGTCTTCCTTTTGTTGAGTTGTATGCATACTCTATATATTTTGGAAATTAATCCCTTATATGATGTATCATTGACAATTATGCTCTGTCATACAGTGGGTTGCCTTTCCATTTTGTTGGTTGTTTCTTTTGCTATGCAGAGTGTTTGAGTTTGATATAGTCCCATGTGGTCATTTTTTCCTTTGTTTCTGTTGCCTTAGGTGATGTATCAGTGAAAATTCTTCTGCGTATGATGTCTGAAATTTTGTTGCCTACATTTCCTTCTAGGATTTTTATGGATTCATGAGTTACATTTAAGTCTTTTATTCATTTTGAGTTTATTCTTGTGTATGGTATAAGTTGGTGGTCTAGTTTCATTTTTTTGCATGTAGCTGTTCAGTTTTCCCAAAACCATTTATTAAAGAGGCTGTCTTTACTCCATTGTATGCTCTTGCCACCTTTGTTAAATATTAATTAAACATAATGTCTTGGGTCCATTTCTGGATTCTCTGTTTTATTCCATTGATCTATATACCTGTTTTTGTGCCAGTACCTGGCTGTTTCGATTACAGTCGCTTTGTAGTATAACCTGATATCTGGTATTGTGATCTCACCTACTTTGAACTTCTTTTTCAAGATTGCTGTGGCTATTTGGGTTCTTTTTTTGGTTCCACATGAACTTCTGAAGTATTTGTTCTAGTTATGTGAAATATGTCATTGATATTTTCATGGGGATTGCATTGAATCTATAGATTGGTTTGGGTAGTATGGATATTTTAATGATGTTAATTCTTTCAATCCATGAACAAGATATATCCTTCCACTTTTTTATATCTTTCTCTATTTCTTTTTTCAATGTCCTATAGTTTTTTGCAAATAGGTCCTTTACTTCTTTCGATAAGTTTATTTCTATATTTTATTTTTTTTGCCATGATGGGAAATGGGATGGTGTTTTTAGTTTCTCTTTATGTGACTTCATCATTGGTTTATAAGAATGCCGTCAATTTCTTGACCTTAATTTTGTATGCTGCTATGTTGCCAAATTCATTTATTTAGTCTAGTAGATTTTAGGGTTTTCTGTGTATAATATCATGTCATCTGTGAATAATGACAGTTTCACTTCTTCCTTTCCAATTTGGATCCCTTTTATTTTTTCTTCCTGTCTGATTGTTGTGGCTAAGACTTCCAGTACTATGTTAAAGAAGAGTGGTTAAAGTGGGCATCGCTGTCTTGTTTCTGTTCTTAAGAGAAATGCTTTTAGTTTTTGTCCATTGAGCATGATGTTGGCTGTAGGTCTTTCATATATGGCCTTTATTATGTTGAGATATGATCCCTCTATTCCCACATTGCTGAGCATTTTTATCAAAATGGGTGCTGGACTTTGTCAAATACTTTTTCAGCATCTACTGATATGATCATATGGTTTTTATCTTTCATTTTGTTTATGTGGTGTATCACATTTATTGATTTGTAAATATTGTACCAGCCTTGCATCTGTGGGATGAATCCCATTTGGTCATGGCAAATAATATTTTTGATGTATTGCTGTGTCCAATTTGCTAGTATTTTGTTTAGGATTTTGGCATCTATGTTCATCAGGGATATTGGCCTGTAGTTTTCTTTCTTCATAGCGTCTTTTTCTGGTTTTGGAATTAGAATTATGCTGGCTTCATAAAATGAGTTTGGAAGGCTTCCTTCCTCTTGAATTTTTAGAAATAGTTGAGGAGAATGGGTGTTAGTTCTTCTTTGAACGTTCGGTAAAATTCCCCCATGAAGCCATCCAGGCCTAGGCTTTTGTTTGCTGGGAGTTTCTTGATTACCTCTCCAATTTCCTTTGTTGTTACTGGTATGTTCAAGTGTTCTATCTCTTCCCGGTTTAGTTTTGGGAGACTGTGAGTTTCTAGAAATTTGTGCATTTTACTCAGATTGTCCAATTAGTTGCCGTATAATTGTTCATAGTATATGTTAATGATCTTTTGTATTTCTGTGGTGACAGTTATTACTTATCCTTTTCATTTTTGATTTTGTGTTTTTGGGTTATCTCTCTTTGTTTCTTGGCGAGTCTAGCTAAGGGTCCATCAATCTTGTTTATCTTTTCAAAGAAGCAGCTCTTTGTTTCATTGATCCTTTGAATTGTTTTATTGGTCTCCATGTCATTTATTTCTGCTCTGATCTTTACTATTTTCTTCCTTCTACTTGCTCTGGGGTTTTATTTTTGTTTCTTTTCTACTTCTTTAAGTTGTGAGGTTACGTAGTCAATTAGAAATTTTTTTTGTTTGTTTCTTGAGATAGGCCTGTAGTGTTATGAACTTTTCTCTCAGAACTGCTTTTGCTGCATCCCATAGATTTTGTGTTGTTTTGACTTCATTTTCATTGGTTTCCAGGAAGTTTCTAATGTCTTTCTTGATCTCCATGGTAATCCATTCATTGTTCAATAACATGCTATTTAGCCTCCATGTTTTCAAATGTCTTTGCATGTTCTTGTTGCAATTGATTTCTAGTTTTATGCCATTGTGATCTGAGAAAATGCTTGATATGATTTCAATCTTCTTGAACATGTAGAGATTTAGTTTGTGCCCTAAAACATGGTCTATCTTTGAGAATGTCTCATGTGAACTTGAGAAGAATGTGAATTCTGCACTTTTGGGGTGTAATTCTCTGTAGATAGCTATTAAATCCACTTGATCTAGTGCTTTATTTAGAGTCTGTGTTGCCTTGTTAAGTTTTTGTCACAATGCTTTATCCAGTGATGTCAGCCAGGTGTTGAAGTCCGCTACTATGATTGTATTGCTGTCAATTTCTCCTTTGAAGTCCTCCAAAAGATTATTAATATATGTTGGTGCTCCTATATTGGGTGCATATATGTTTTCCAAGGTTATATCTTCTTGTTGGATAGATCCTTTCAATATTATGTAGTGGTCTTCTTTGTCTCTAGTTATGGCCTTCATTTTGAAATCTACTTTATCAGATATGAGTATTGCTACCCCAGCTTTTTTTTTCCTTTCTGTTTGCTTGGAAGTTTTTTTTCCATCCCTTTATATTCAACCTATGTGAGTCTTTTGTTGTGAGGTGGGTCTCTTGTAAACAACATATAGATGAGTCATGCTTTCTTATCCAATCAGCTACTCAGTGGCTTTTTTATTGGAGCATTCAATCCATTTACATTTAAGGTGATTACTGATATATATTTATTTATTGCCATTTATGTTTAGTGTGGTTATATTTTTCTTTCTCTTTCATCTGCTAATTACAGTAGTCCTTTGAACATTTTTTTTTGCAGTGCTAGTTTGGTGCTTATATATTCCCTTAGCCTCTTTTTTTGTCTGGGAAACTCTTTACTTGACCTTGTATTTTGAATGATAGTCTTGCTG